CACTTCTGAGAGATACTATATATATATATAAAATAGTCCACATAGGATAGGATTAAGACATGATGGCACCATCAACACATATGTACATGTTCCATGTCATTTGAACATATGTAAAAAAATTACTGATTTAACAAATCAGCAAAGATAATTATAATTAATAATGATTGGCATCACTCAGTACAATTGAATTACATTTTACAGGTAAGTTATATATAACATTTTGGGATCATTTAAAAAAAATACAATATCACAGGGCCGGGCTGTAAATATAAATTTACTTGTAAAAAGTGATTTGGTCTATTTTGCATGAAGTACTAACTGGAGGTAGCCAAGTGCTACATGTCAGCTGGAAATTACACCTGTAAACATTGATCAGCTAAGGACCAATTCCCACTAGCCCGTCCTCTAAAACAGCTTTTTAGCAGCCAGCTAATCCTTCAACTAGATTCGGCCGCTGTAGTCCTTCGGTTTAGTAGAACCGAAGGGCTGCTGTACGGGCTATTCACTATAGCCAGTACAGCTCCCGAAGCTGGCCGAGTGGCTCAGTCGGGCCGAAGGCATATGCTTTGGCTCGACTGAGCTGAAGTGAAACCCGATGCATGGCGGCCAGTTGCAATGACAGATCAGCATCCCCAGGTTCCCAGGTTACCTCGCTCTGCGGCATTCAGCTATTCACTCACTGCCGTTCGGCCCCATGAGAATAGGCCGAACGGCAGCGAGTAGCCTCCCGGAGGTTTGGCTCAGCCGATCCAGACGTTGGATCGGCTGAGTAAAACTCCTTCTGCACTTCGGCTCAGCCAAACATGCTGAGCATGTTCGGCCGAACCAAAGCCAGCCAAATCAAGCTGATGTACAGCTGATTTCAGCCAATGTATGGCTGAAATCAGCAGTGCAAGCCTGAAGTGATTAGCCGAACAACGTTCGGCTCACTTCACTTCGGGTCGGTTATTCACTCGGCTGCCTTCGGCAGCTTTGTGAATAACCCTCTAAATGTCATTCAGTTAGTGCATACATCTGCTTTAAAAATAAGAAAAATACTTTAAGGAATGGCCCCCTACCACCCCGCCCTTTCGAATGAAATATCCACCAAACCCATAAAGATGTGATGGTTTGGTGTTACAAACGTTTGTCATATGTACATAGCTATGCCAGTATTGACATGTTTTTCACCCAAAACTGTAAGCCAGCTAAGTATGGGCATATTCAACCAATCTTGGCTTCCTTTGGACCATTGGAAAAAAAGCTGACTTAAGAGGAGTTTTAGACTTAAAGATAGCAGTCATGCTTTATGGGTAGTATTAGTAGCTTAGTGAATGATTTTACTTGCTGCCAGGATTTGATCTTTAATTACATTTCAGAAAGAAGAAATGGTAAAAATCTAGATCACAGACAACTGCAGATTTCTGGAATTTATTATAGACCCATTAGTTGTGTGTGTCTACTTTTCATTGAAAACTGTATAATTTATTTTACCAATAGGAAAAAGTTGAAATGATAATTTAGCTGAAGTAAGTTTTCAGCTTGACATTCCACAATGTTCCTGTAATTTACCCCTAAACATTTAAGAATTTTTTTTTTCTGAGATGTGAGTTTGCTTTTCCCAGATAACTTGTACGTTTGTGCACCACATGTACTCCTCAATGTCTAATTAGGGAAATGTACCTTTGGTTGATGTATCATGCATGGTTCCAGACAATTAATTCTACAGGTGGGTGAACACAGAGGATGCTGTCATTCAAAGTCTAGGTAAGATTTTGTCAGGAAGAATAGACATAATAGCTTTGTATATTACCATATTTCTTTCAATAATGAAGGCAAATTATTCTTAAATATAGTCTTATAACCAAAATTGTATGGAATAAGTAACTCATAAATACATCTAAACGTACTATATACATAAATACATATAATATACATATAATATTTATATATATATACACATATGTATATCTATCTATCTATCTATCTATCTATCTATCTATCTATCTAGATAGATCTATATAGATAGATCTATCTATCTAGATAGATAGATCTATCTATCTATCTATCTATAGATATAGATATAGATCTATCTATCTATCTATAGATATAGATATAGATATATATCTATCTATCTATAGATATAGATATAGATCTATCTATCTATCTATAGATATAGATATAGATATCTATCCATCTATCTATAGATCTATATGTCTATCTATCTATCTATCTATCTATCTATCTATCTATCTATCTATCTATATAGATAGATAGACAATAGATATCTATCCATCTATCTATAGATCTATATGTCTATCTATCTATCTATCTATCTATCTATCTATCTATCTATCTATATAGATAGATAGACATATAGATCTATAGATAGATAGATAGATAGATATCTATCTATCTATAGATCTATATGTATATCTATCTATATATATCTATTGTTTTACCTTCCAAAAAAAACATATTTAGCCATTGTGATCCAGGAATCCTTGAGCTCCCTGCAAACTTTCTACACATAATGTTATAGTGCATTTGAACAATAAAGCCTGGTCTTGGACATGATTCAGCCTTTGGTTGGACAACAATTAAGAAGCAGCACAACTCTGATAATATCATCACTCTGCTTTCAGAAAGCTCTCAGTATAAGATGCTCAGTGCAATGCATTAGTGCCTGATTAGGTCGCAATGCCTGCCCCTCCCTCTACCACCTTGCTATAAATAAATAAATAAATAAGTAAATTCTTTCAATCTTTTTTATAAAAGAAAACAAAATGTATATATATAAAAATGTTTCATTGGAGCCGGTAAACCATTGCAACCATGATCAGTGGATTGTGAGTGCAATGCTGTGGCTCCTGCAAATTCTCACTCTTACACTGTGAATAGTAAACTTTGGGAAAGAATAATGGATGCAAGTTTTTTTTTTTTAATAAGTCAACCGTCAACATGATATTCTAATCAAGTAGTTCCTAAGCATTGTCATGTAGTGCATCAAAGTTTTCTTGTTTCGTTTCTTTAACTGCAAAGGGGAATTTTTCTGAAATGTTCAGCCTTTGGCATTGTGTTTCAGTTCACTTCTGTTGACATGGATGGGTTGTCAATGACAGCTGCTTTCACAATGAAATACTAAGAACCAGTAACAGGTTGTTAGATTTTGATCACTTTCAGCGCATAGGAGTCAAAAGACAAAGCACTGTGCACTAAGCACTTAAGCACTGTTATACTGTTCCATCACCAAATTCTGACTAGCAACACAACTGCGAAAGACAGACTGCAGCATTCCCATGCTCTCTAGACAATAATTTAAATGTGTAGATTAAAATGAAAGGAACACTTTCTCAAAGAAATTTCTCTATTGCTGAAATGCTAGAAAACTCTTGACCATGAAAGGCCTAGCCCCGCGCAGCAATATGTTGTTTTGTGTCATGTGTTGTTTTGTATCATTTAGGAATCAAATTCTGTAGAGGGTTGTAGCTACTGGATGAAAGCCATCTCAATGGATTGTGTAGTGCCACTATATTTGTTAGATGTTTCTTTACATTCTTGACTGACAATAAGGGCCCATTTACACATACTGCGGTGACCTGGACTTTACTGCACCAGATCAACACAGGTCACCACAAGGACACATAGAAAACAATTTTTTTATGTGTTCTATTCACATACAACTCAATGGATGGTGCTCTGTGATAAAATGCAAATATGCTGCACTGTGCTGCCGTGTGGGGATGTGAACGGTGTGTACACATTGTGCAAGCCACATAACGTTAAAAATAAAAAAATATTTAAAAAATGCAGCTGCCAGAGCTGCCACAATGCACCAGCCCGGAACATTTTAGCTAATGTGCCACTGTGAACAGGCCCTGAAGGTATTCATTTATCCAGGGAATGGTATAGCTGGCAATGAGTAAAGTGTATCTAAAGCTAGAACTTTATAAACTTAGGGTCAGGGTTTTTTTTCTCCCTGTGCTGTCACTGGGTCCATAAAACCTCTGTTTGTCCTAGTAACAATTGTCACTGGAACTGAAAGTGATGGAAAATGCAAAACATTGAACTGTCATATGAACAGGAATAGAAGGCTCATTTTTTAATGTTCCTCATTTTGTAGAGAATGTCTCTAAATTCCTAATGTGTCTGTGGGACAAGAAGTGAAGGGGAATTTCCAAAAATGGACATAGAAAAATGGTTCTAACTCTACCCTAGTCTATCCAATATGTTTTGGCTTTACCTACTGTACACTAAAATCACAGGCACCGGAACCTTTTCTGTAATGTTGAAAACATTTCCCTAAACCTATTTGCATAGCATCATTACTTGTTGATTGACAGTGCCCCTGTTCTGGCAGTACTTGCAGAAGATGCAATATTATTAAAGGATACTCTTGGCTTTTGCCAAATCTTGGAAACAGTTAATCTCCAGAAAATAATTGTCTAATCTTAGGCCAATATAGGAAAAGGCCAACTCAACTGTTTCAATAAAAGACCAGAGCAAATGCAGTCACTTGATATTGACAGAAAAGTACTCAATACTATTGCTAAGGACACATTTAGCAACCTTGTCATGAGGGCAGTCAGCAAGGCACTCTCACATCTTAAAATAGAATATTCTGTATTGATTTTATAGTTGATACATGGAAAAGAATAGCAGTCATGATACTTTAGGGTAACCGTCACCTTTGCACAGGCATCCTATTTTGAAGTGCAAGAAAGCCTTGTTACAGAATTGCCAAAGAAGACTTATTTTTCCATGTCAACCATGGTGTCCCATCCAAAAATCAATTATAAGTTTTAAAATTGATTTTTCCTTTAATATTATCTGCACATAATACTCCATATGCTGTAAAAAAAAAACCTTTATTAAGGAACCACCTGAAAGTTGCAGACAATCTAAATATCATATTCTATACATGCATCTACTAATGGACTGCAAAAATAAATTTTGTTTTTGTTTTTTTCAAAAAAAGTCAGATTTGAAATTTTTAAAGTTGTTGCTTTTCTCATTTCCAGATACACCTAGCGTCAAGATCATGCCCTCTATTCCTCTTCCACAAGAAGGACAGCGACTTGTTTTGACATGTGAATCTAAAGGAAAACCCCTGTAAGTGTTTGTTTTGTATCATGTTCTTAGACCTCCTCACTTCTTCGTCAAGAACTCAGTTAGGTTTAGGGAGCAGAGATGATTATTTAGTTTAGTAAATACGGTAAAGCTGTGTGCAACACCTGGTTATTTTTAATTTCCGCTGTGCTTTTTTATTTTAAATGAACACAACTTCACTTTATGTACAAAGGGGAAAAATGTATATGTGGAATCTGGGGCATATTTGTAAAGCAGTGAATGTGACATTTACCAAACATTCACAAGTGGTTAATCATTCCCTTTAATTTGAAAAATATGTTCTAGGAAGTTAATGCAGTGGATATTTAGTAAATGTCGAATTCACTGCTTTATAAATACAGTATGTTCCAGAGACTTCTGATGTTGTCATTTATTCTTGATGCTTTATAGTATGACATTTGTTGAAAATGTTTCAGTACTTCTATTGCATTATGTATTTAATTTTATGGTTAAAGTATATTTAAACTCTAAAATCTTATGGTGCTCCTGCCATGAAGTTCCTGGTTCAGGCACTTAGTGCTAGGGTGAAACATCTGTGTCCCTGTTTTTCAGTTGAGCTGCTGTACTGTCCTCCTGCCAAGGGGGATTCTATTGGAGACTACAATAGGCCTTTCTAACACATGTTAAACAGGCATGATCAGATGTTGTCATTATCAGGAAACCCACCCTGAAAAATACAATGCAGCTACACTGGAGTGCATGCATGTAGATTGGAAGCAGCTGCAAAGAGGCTGCAGGACATGTGAAAGCAGGTATTTAAAAAAAAAATTGTTATTGAGAAACAGTGATTTGGAAAACTAAATTTCATTCAGTTAGGGTATGTATCCCCTTTAATGGGTGAAGGGAAAACACTTAAATAAATATTTGTAAATATGACTGTCTAAACTGATTGATGGCAAGGCTGTCAATGTATTTAGACCAGGAAGTAACCCTACCACAACACCCTCTATTTCACCCTATTAGCTGCCTTTCCCACTATATAAAAAATTTGGTTGGTGCTGTGCTTTCAATGTGTGCCAAAACCTAACCTTATTTTAGTATGTTTGTCATCATTCTTCACTGTATACAATACATTTTTTTATAAATCTGTTGCAAGCTACTTACCTGAAGATCCTGCCAGTAACAACACTTGCTCTTGCAGGCTGGCAATACTAAGGGACTTGCATTTAGCAGAAGCCTTGTTAGCTTGCCTAGCATGCTCCATTAGTATGCTGTTAGGCTGTCAATCAGGTCTCTTGGAGGTTTATTCACAAAGCTAGCTGAAGATTCAGCCATAGTTCCGGCTGATTCTTCGGCTAGTTTCGACCGCCAGACCCCTTCGGTTCAGTGATCTCATGGCTGGCTCCGGCCAGTTGCAGTGACAGATATCTCATTGCAACTGGCCGGAGCCAGCTGTGAGATCACGGTCAGCTCCGCCAAATTTTAATTAATTGGCCGGGACCTGCTAGGAAACAGTTGGGCGGAGCTAGCTGTCACTGCTAGCTCCGCCCAATTGGTTCTTTCTTTTTAAATTTTGTTTTTCTTTTTTCATTGATCTTTATTTTTGTTTTTTCAATGATCTAAATATTTTTACTTTAAAAAAAATCTTAATTTTTTAAGATTTATCATTTATTTACCTTTTCAAACATTTTTTTTCTACTTTTGTTTCTTCTACTTTTTGCACTGTTTTTCTATTCTGCTCGGTACCACAGAGGTACCGAGCAGAATAGCTGGCGGCATTCGGCTATTCACTCACTGCCGTTCAGCCCCTATAAGAATAGGCCGAAAGGCAGTGAGTAGCCTGCCGGAGGTTCAGCTTAGCCGATCCAGATGTTGGATCGGCTGAGTCGAACTCCTTCTGCACTTCGGCTCAGCCAAACATGCTTAGCATGTTCGGCCGAACTGAAGCCAGCCGAAGCAAGCCGATGTACAGCTGATTTCAGCCGTTGTACGGCTGAAATCAGCCGTACAAGCCTGACATGAATAGTCGAAACAGCATTCGGCTCACTTCACTTCGGGTCGGTTGTTCACTCAGCTGCCTTTGGCAGCTTTGTGAATAACCCTCTTAGATAAGCAGCCCAATGGCCACTTGGCTCATATGGCAGGCTGACAACAATATTGCCAATTGCCAGGCCTTAAGAAAGACAGTTTGCAACAGTTACCTAAAACAATTTTTAAAGTGCATCTGTGCCCTGATTATAGTCATTCACCTATTTACATATTCATAACAAGCAGAAAACAATTTTTAAAATGAGCCATCTTTGACCTCTCTAGTTGCTTGTGAATAATTCACCCTCAAAGGTCGCTTTCTAGTAACTTTACATTAAAGGGCTGGCAGGCTGCCAAGATTCTGCTTCCATAGAGATTGGAGGGGTAAGTAGCTATGATTTCAGTATCTCTGTGTTAAATTTTGAATATTCATTTCTCCACACTGCCTACAGAGGTGAATGGGGGCTTATTTAAAAATGCTTTTACTGCTAAAATGTGCATAGTCTGTGCACAGATTTTCTTTAAGAAAATTGTATACATTGTGGCATGATGATAGATATTTTCCCCTAAGCATTTAATCCCTCTCCAGGATACATTTCAGAATTTTTAGGACCATAAAGCTACTCTAGAAGGGAAAGCCAGAAACACTCCTTTTATCCACATAACAATAGCAGTTTCAACTAATCTGATGCCTTCAAAGAACAGTTGCCATATTTCAGAATTAATGCCAGGTAAAAGTTTCAAATGAACTATAACAATGAACTGAAGAGTTGTTATCTCATCTCTTCCAATTCCAAATGTAAAATTTTACTAATGCTTCATAATTATTTGGACAGTTTTACAAGAATTCTGTAAGAAATGGGAAATTAAACCCTGCCTGTCATCGTCATGCATGGCTTTACAAACTGTGTGTAATTGCCCTTCCTTCAGAATGTATTTAGAGGCAATTCACAAAATGTTGACATTCCACTTATTTTGAAATATTAATGCAACTTTTTCATAATTATGTTCAGCCTCCAAGGCTTAACATCTGATTAAGATAAAATTTAAAAGGTTGGTCCCAATTGATATATGTTTTAGTGCAGATTTAAAATAATTAGATTTTGACTGTGCACATGGAATACAAAATAACAGAATAGCCTAGATCATAGTTTAAGGTAGCTGATGAATGGATGAGCTTCCCTGTACATTCAGTACAATACCTGAAAATAAAAATGTAAATAAAGCCTGCATTCTGGCATTGATAATAGCCTTGCATCTGCCTAGAAACTGTTATTCCTCTTTTTGTGACAAATTTGTACTTAGGCAGCTACATTGCCATATTATAATTATCATTGTTCTTTCTGTTTAGAAGCAGAATTCTCTTTTCTGCATTTCACAATTTAAAGCTAAACTCCAGGAACAGCAACTTTCATTTAAATATATTCCTCAATAGCCACATAGGCACAAATGATATAAGTGCACTTCGTGTGAACCATATATCTTTGCAAATGATCAATTATTACCTTGGAATAGTAGTGGTGATGTCATCACTGCACTGTACATAGCCTGTGCTGAGAGCAGAGCAGTGGGGGGGGGGGGGGGGGCGCC